TCAAAAGATCAAGATTGGGAGATTGTACATAGTTTTAGCGAGAATGATGTAAATAAACAATGGAATGCTTTCATTGACACATATTTGAAAATATTTTATGAGTGTTTTCCATTAAATCTGGTTCAAGAGAAACCAATAAAAGCTGTGCGATATGATCAAGAAACGGAAGAATATAGAGAAAAACTGAATACAATGCTTCTCCTATCAAAGACCCACCAAAATTTCAAAGCTATATACAATGAAATGAAAAAGGAATATAATCAGCTATTAGCAAAAAAAAGGGGAGATTTCTACCTGTCAAAAATTAATCAGTCCGATAACAAAATGAAGTGCATGTGGAATATACATAATGAAATAGTAGGCAAAATTAAACAAAACGATTCACTTTTCGAAGGAAACCCAACAATAAATGCTAATAAGTATAATGAATTTCTATTGAAGGTCATTCCTGAACTAATTGATAAATTGGAAAAAACTAATTTCACATGTAGTATTTCAAATAATGTACAGTCAATGTTTCTTCAACCTATAACAGAAGATGAACTAGGTAGATTGGGACAAAAAATAAAAAACAAGCATACATGTGGTGATGACGAAATACCAATAAGTCTTATGAAATTATGCATAGACCCAATCGCTGGTATTATGTGCTATATCATTAATAATTCATTCAAATATGGGATTTTCCCACAACAGCTCAAAGTAGCTCTAGTGACACCCATTCATAAAAAAGGAGATCGTGAATTATTTGAAAACCACCGACCTATAAGTGTTCTTCCCTCATTTTCAAAACTCTTTGAGATGGCCATGTGCGACAGACTCATGGATTTCATGAAACACTGTAATCTCTTGAACTCTGTTCAGCATGGGTATATCAAAGGAAGGTCAGTGGAAACAGCAACTATACAGTTCACAGAAATGATTGTTGACTCATTTGAAAAAAACGAAATACTACTAGGAATATTTCTAGATTTATCCAAGGCTTATGACTGCTTAAATCATGAATACCTATTAACCAAACTGGAAAGATACGGAATTCGCGGAAATGTATTAGATTGGTTCAGATCATACCTATCCGAACGCCAACAAAGAACAAAAATAATAAAGCATGGACAAACTTACAAGTCAGATATAAGAATAAATAATATAGGTATTCCACAAGGAAGTATAACTGGTCCTGTTCTATTCATAATCTTCATGAATGACATTCTGGAAATTTTGAATACTGAAGAAAATGCATGTCAGATTACTAATTATGCTGATGACACTAATCTTTTAGTGTCAAGCACAAATTACCCAAATTTACTTGAAAAAGCAGATCATCTAATGAGTAGAACAGAAAGCTGGTTCACGAAAAACAATTTGATTTTAAATGTAGACAAAACAAACATCATACTATTCAGAACACCACAACAAAGAATTGAAACTCCACAAACAATAGAATTATTGAATAAAAAAATGGATGTACAAAACTCAACCAAATTTTTGGGTATTCATATAAATGAACATCTGCGTTGGCATACACATATCATAAATATGGGGAAGAAATTGAACCAAATATGCTACTCCATCAGGATTATAAGTAAATATCTAAATGAAATTTCAATGAAAATCATGTACTTCTCGAATTTTGAATCAACAGCAAAATTTGGAATAATATTTTGGGGAAGCCATAGTAACATAGCGGATATTTTTTGCATCCAAAAGAGAACAATGAGACTTATTTTCAAAATTAAGTATGGTCAATCCTGTCGAGGTTTGTTCAAAGCGAAAAGCATCCTGACAATATATGCACTTTATATTTATGAATGTGTAGTCTACTTATTCAAGAATAAGAGCAAACTGTCAGTATCTGGTGGAAACCACTCATATCCAACACGTAGCACAAACATAAGTTACCCCATACATAGATTGACACTTACTGAAAAACACCCATCATATGCAGCTTTGAAGTTTTTTAATAGATTACCTGATTGTATCAAAACATGTGAAAGTCTCAACAAATTTAAAAAAAGTGTTAGAAGCTTTCTAATACATTTAGAACCCTATTCAATTCATGAATATTTTAATGTGTAACATCTAAATGTGTAATATTTTCCATGTACAAAATACGTTGACGTTGTTTCGTTTTATGTTTTTCTTTTGTCTTTTCTGTAAAATGTAAAACATTCTCCGAAATATATATATTATTATTATTATTAACTATGCATGTAATCCATACCTTCTATTTTACCCCTGTACTTCCAAATGATATATTGGACATTATATCTAACCTAAAAATACGAACTCAGTAGGGGTAGATTGCATTTCCACAAAAATCATCAAAAATATTAGAAACTTCATTTGCGAACCACTGGCATTTTTGATAAATTCTTCTATTGAAAAGGGGGAGTTCCCCAACAAACTAAAAGTTGGGTCAATAACACCAATTTTAAAAAAAGGTGAGTCAACATTAATTGAGAACTACAGACCTGTAACAGTTCCTACAGTGTTATGTAAAATTTTTGAGAGATGTGTTTATCAGAAGATGCTAGCGTTTCTCGATCAATTCGATATCATATCTAAATTTCAACACGGATTCCGCCCAGGTAGGTCAACGGAAAGTGCATTCTGCAGCTTTTTCAAGTATGTTTATGACTCACTTGACAAAAGACGATACGTTGGTGCACTTTTCTTTGATTTGTCGAAGGCATTTGACATCATCGACCCCGGTATTATTTGCAAAAAACTATATTCTCTTGGTTTTCGAGGTACTTTCAATTCGTGGCTTGAGTCGTATTTGACTTCTAGGAAAATACATGTGAAAGTTGATGAATGTCGATCACAGTCGTATGATATGGACTTAGGAGTTCCTCAGGGGTCTATATTGGGTCCCCTAATCTTTCTCCTTTTTATTAATGATATGCCAAATCATATTAGCACAGATTATATAGTTCTGTATGCTGATGATACTACGCTTGCCGCGGATGCCGCTACCCCAGAGGAACTTCAAGAAAAATTGAATTTGCTAAGTTTGGAGTTCACAAGCTGGTGTATAAAGAATTGTTTGGTAGTAAATTCGAGACAAACAGTTTTAATGCAGTTCTACCCCAAAGCTACAAAAAAATTAATAATTTCAACGTAAGAGTAGGCGATGAGACAATTGAATCATCAAATGAAGTGAAATTTCTGGGTACCTACATTGATAGTAACATGACCTGGGAGTCGACTATGAATCAAGTTACCAAGAAAGTAAACACTGGATATTATGCAATTAGACAGTTGAAGTCAACATTCAGTAAGGCCCAGCTCTTGAATGTATATTTTGCAATTGTATACTCCCATATTTCTTACAACATTGCTGTGTGGGGCTGTTGCACAAAACTAAATAAAATATTCATCTCTCAGAAAAGGGTTATACGATTGATATTTGGATTAAATTACAGAGAATCATGTAGACAATACTTTATTCGAAATAAAATCATGTGCGTTCCATGCATTTATATATACAAATGCATTTTATTATTCAAAACAAATGTCCATGACTACAACCGAAATTGTGATTTTCATGCATACCTTACCAGGCATGGTGAACTGATACGGCTCCAAAAACATTCAACTCGTCTCTATGAGAACTGTCCGTCATATGTGGGAGCAAAACTGTTCAATCATCTACCGGATGATATAAAAAACCGAAGTAGTCAAAATATTTTCAAGGCAGAACTGAAAGAATTTTTGATTGAAGGTTGTTTCTATAGTACTGATGAATATCTTAGTTATTAGGACCAATTTCTTTATTTTATTTATTTTCATTTTATATCTTATTTTGGTGTATAACTGTAATGTTACTAATTTATGTTCAAAATGTGTGTGTATCATCCGTTGTCTGACGTATCCTATATCATTTTTTTGATCATGAAGGATTTAATACATTTATTTATTTTATTTATTATTTCTTTCTTTGTTGTCATTGTTTTCAGTTCCGAATAGTTCCAACAATTTATGTAATAACTCAATATTTTCATTTGCCAAAATTGCAGATTATTATTATTGACTGACGACTGACACTGACCAGCCAGTGGTCAATTCTTCTTCTTCTTCTTCTTCTTCTTTTCCTCGACAAATCCTGTCCTGTGCATCCAGGTCTCTTTGCTTTGTGTCCCGTCAGGCGGTGATCTATGTTTCATGAAGTTTTGACATGAATGAAAAAATATAATTAACCTCACCAAAATCCTGAGATAGAAAATCAGAAGATCGAAGGAAAAGGAAAGATAAATAGGAATTGAATCTGTTTGATTCCTTTGGAACTGTGTTTCCGACTCTCCAGATAGACTTAATGAAATAGTTGAATAAACAATTTTCCAGACCTAACCTAAAAATACCAGAGACCCGAAAGATATTCACTTTGATTCCTGTAATTATCCAGAATAAAAATAGCAACCAGTATTCCAGGCTAAACCCAGGGTTTGTAATTAAAGCCTACACTCCCTTGGCTCCTTATTGATTCCAGGTCGATTCAATACCATTGACCCCTGGTTTATACTGTAGGTACCGAGGTAGGTATACCTCCTGTACCTTTCTCCACTGTTGCTACTTTGGGCCCCTGTACAAAAACATTTTGTGCAGAGCAGGTAGAGTAAACTACCTCAAAAACAATCTGGTGCTCGAGACCCCCCCCCCCCCCCGTCAAATACCAGAGTAGTCTCCTGTCCTGAACAGAGCGTCAAAGTAAGGGCCTGCAGAATAAAGACCCCTTACAAAGTCATTACCACACTATAGTTCATAAAATGAACAAAAATGGTAGATAACGAAAAAAAAACTACTTTCCTGGCTATATGCCACGCAGAACATTGAATTATATCGCCAGCATGGGTATGTATGATATGCCAAATGAAACTTCGATAATTAAAAATGGCGCCTCTAAGATGGCGGACGATTTTATAATTTTTTCATCTGATTCGATTGAGATTACGTATATTTGATGGTTTTTCAAGGTAAGATAACAATACTTCGTCTTTCAGGTCGCACAAAATCGAAGAGAGCTTCAACTGTATGACGTGCAACAGGAAATTCGACACAAAAGAGAATTTGGAGATGCACTCTCGCGTCCACAGCAACGTCAAAAAGTACGTCTGCTCCTATTGCAAGAAACCCTTCGCCACCGAAGAAGCCTTAAAAGAGCATGTCACCGAGGAGTGCAGGTAAAAATTAGCATTACCCTTGAATATTTGCATTCATTTATTTATTTATTTATATAATATTAATACATCCAGCAGGCTTACGCCCATTTACAGGTGTATGTAATAATACATGGTTATTAGTTGGATCGCTAAAAGTATATACCTATATCTATACATAACTCGAAAAGAATATAAACTAAGATATGTGAAACTAGTTCCTCAAGGCACTAAATAGTCTATGCTTGAATTGAGACAGCGAGAGAAAAAATATATCAATACTTTGTAAATTGTTGTAACTTCGGCACATTGTTGTAAGAGGACAATGGAAGTGATGTTGTGTGTTGGGCCGTTACCACCGATACAACAAGGCCAGCAGACTCTGACGTAAACAGCTCCTGACGTCGCCAAGAGAGGCCAGTGTTTTATTTTATCGCTTGTCGACTAACGCGTCAGTTCGTGTTAATTCATCGGTGATTCACGTATGTTTTTGAAACGGTCCCGAATTCGGATTCGACTCAGGATTTCTGTCTTGTTTCTCAATTGCTCTGGAGTACGTAAACTCTAAGAAAACTTCACTGCTACTTTCACAACCACCCTGTACAATTCAGGTATCGCTATAAAATATTGTCATCACGAATTAGCAACTTCCTCACCAAGTTATACGGGATTCCAATCATTCGATGGATATGAATTTCAGGACGGGTGCGGTTTCATAAAAACTTGAACATCTTGTGTATACTATGGTAGTCTAATTCAAGAAATGCAATTATCATGAATCGATGTTGATATCAGTATACTACGAAATGTCCAAGAATGAATTGATTTCAACCGCTCACTTTTTCGGAAATAATTGGAACATTTGCTATTTTTGGACCAAACCCTGTATATCGTGAGTACGTGCAGATATCATTGAACTCTATAGTGGATTTTCACCGGTTACATGGACAAACAAAACGTAGTCGATTTGATTTTGGTATTCAAAAAGGAAACTTCACAATGGCCAATCGAAATTTTGAAAAAGTCAACTTCAGCACCCTGTATAATCCAAACTATTGAAATTAGAGGGTTGATAATTGGGACATCTGATCAGCATCACGAGTTCTACGATATATCCAAAATTCGAGAAAATTCACCGAAAGCCAATTTCCCCCCTATTGCGGTGCGGGGTCCTTTAATTTCTATTTGTTGGATTTGTGTATGTGGAATGATCATTACATTTATAATATTCTTCATAATAAAAATGTCAGACTCTTGGATTCTCGTGGAGAAGTAAATATGAAGCTTATGGATCAGCAAATAGAAACTTTTGTTGAAACTTCTCAAGCCAAAACAACAAGAACAAACAAATTCAATTTCTTGGAGCCGAATCAATCAACGGGAACAATCCGAAATGAAAAGATGTTGCCAATGCTCAAAAATGAAAGAAAAAAAGAAAACCCAGTTTGCCCTGTTTGCTCGAAAAAACCTGGTCTATGTGTCTATCCTTGCTTCAAAAATTGGAATGCATCGTCCATTTAGGTTTCTCATATCTAGATTTGATCTCATTTCCACTTTTTTTTATGCAATAAAGGAAATAAATAAGTAATACACTTAGTTTTTTTTTGGTTGGTTTCTCAGAGCCTTTCTGTTCTCTGTTCTCGATTCCGAAGTGATTTTCAACCTATATTGTGTGCTAATATGATTTTCCGTACATGTAGGTGGTTCCATGGCTGCTAGCGAGCAGTGTACATCACTGATGGTAATATCAATTGGTCATTGGACTGTATCTCAGGAATATTTCTTTCTTCTGAAAATTCAACAATCCTAATTCGATAATTACATAAGTATACGGAGGTGTTTTCATGAAAAGACATTAATGAAATTGTCAGAACTGGAATTGTTTTCGAGAGAAATATGAATAGTCAGGGAATTGGCCATCCTGATTCCGAATATAGATGCATTCTTGCCTTCCATGCAAAAATGTTTTAATGCATTTTTTCATATTTCCAGGTGCCCAAACCGAAATGATTGTTTCACAACTCAACACATGTTCCGCTTCCTATGTTAGGATCTTCAGGATAAGATTCAAACGAATTCCATAATCTTCCTTAAAATGATAGTATGGTTAGCAGATCCCAAAATTCGTGTCGAGGTATGAAACAATCATTTTGGTATGTGATTGAAACTATTCTCTGTGATCGTGAATGAAAGGTTCCATAATTTGATATATCATTCCAGTGAAAGCAGCGATGGAAGATAACAAATGTTTTTCATTTTCGTCAAGTACTGATGTTAGTTTGAATTGTGTTAAATTGACTGCTAAAGGTGTCCAAGGAATTATAAATGCTAGCAAGTAGCAGCTAGACAAAGTAATTGAACTCTTGGAACCAGTGCCTATTCATCCTATAATTGTTCATGTCGAATGTCGCCGTTTGTACGTAAATCAGAACAAGATGAAGAATGATCTCAGGTTTAAATCAGATCCTGATAGAGAAGCATCAACTAGTAGCAGCAGCAACAGAACTTTGTGATCTGAGCGGACGACATTCGCATTCAAAGATAATTGCTTGTTTTGTGGCCGATTCATCAAGGAAACTGAGAAAATAATTAAATCTGCAATTTTACCAGTTCAAACTTTCGCATTTCCACAAACTTTTATCGATGTGTGTAATGCAAGAAACGATTTTTGATCATCAAATGTCCTTGCACGATGCACGTCTTCTTTCCGTTATCGATACTTGCCAGTAGCAGATGCTCTGTATTATCAGAAATGTAGTGTGAATTTTGGAAAACGCGACTCTATCTAAGGAATATCAACATGATATTCTCAATGAGCAGACAAAGTTAGCAGGAAGACCTGATAAAAATAAAAGAGATGCCTTTTTAGAAATATGCAGGTGGCTCAAGGAAACTGATGAAGCAGTTTCAGTTCAGGAGTTGCTGGACAAAATGGCAGAGCTGCTACCAGAAAGTATCGAACCTTACACTGTTCGTCGTATGCATAAAAAATTAGAAGAATATTTCTCGGATGACATATTGGGACAAAAAGGTAGAGCTAATATGATCGTAACAGGGAAAACAGTTGCCAATATAATTTGTGATTATCAGCGACAGAAGTGTTCAGAAGATCCAGATGCTGAAAAAATTTCGGATAGTTGAAGCAACAGCTAAATTGATTAAGAATTTAATCAAGTTGATGAGGACATCCTTAGAGTTTTATCCTTCACCAGAAGAAATAAGTTCCGAGCAGGAAAATAATAAGCTTTTACCCGACATTTTGAAAACATTCTTGAATATAATAATCAACAAAAAATCCTCAAGTTTGGAGAAAAATTCAATTGAACAGGCACTAATGCAAGCTGCAAGGCCACGATCTATCATAAGTTCAATTCGTCTAGGTGTTGGTGTGCAGTATCATCGAGATTTTCGATCTCGGTTACTTGTTGATGAACTTCATAAGCTTGGGGTTTCTGTATCATATGATGACGTACAGAAGTTCTTGCAAAACTGAAGTAGATGAACCTTGTGAAACCAGATGAAAATGTCGAAGATACGGAATTTTTTCCACAGTATTGTGCAATAATTGTTCGGGAAGGTACCAATATTCCAATCGAGGAAGTTGAAGATAATGAATGAACTTCTGTTACATGCCAAATATGCCATTTTTATTAGGTTTATGATTTATACGTATTAACGAATAAACGAATATTGGAAACACTGTATTTTTATTTTGCACACAGGTATCATTCTATATTTTCTCATATGTGCTATTCTATGCATTCTGAACAGAGGAAAGCAAAAAAAATTTTGTGGGAATTATTTCTACCTGAGACCATTTTTTATCGCATATCTACTACACTAAGAGTACATTTTTGGTATATCTCTCGCTCCCAACAAATTTCAGGATCCTTACGTGGGATACAGGGGAGTTCCCTCAGACACACTGTAGATTGCAGAAATTGAAAATTAAGCACTTTTTACAAGAAATTCTGGTGATTCAATTGAAAAAATCTCCACGCTCAGAATGTGACCGTTTTGCAGAGACCGAAACTACGAGTGCCAGTACTGCGGCCGGCGATTCTCTCGTCCTCACGAAAAAGTCAAACACGAGCGGATCCACACGGGCGAGAAGCCGCACGTGTGCCAAATATGCGGCAAATCCTTCCGCGTCAGCTATTGCCTCACTTTGCATTTGCGCACGCATTCCGGCGACAGGCCGTACGAGTGCAAGCTGTGCGACAAGCGGTTCAAGTCGTACAGCGTCTACAATCATCATCTGTTGACGCATTCCGAGGTCAGAGCTTATAGGTAAGTCGATATTGGTTATTTTTCGAACAAGTGTGTGTGATGAATGAATGTTTATTGAATAGGAAGGAAATCCTAATATACAAACAATACTTCAATTAACATGAAATTTAAGTATTACATAGATATTATACACTAAAAAACTACTTATTTACTTACATTTTGGAAAACTAGCATTGATACATAATAAATAACTAGATATAAATACAGAGTAATCATTGTAATATATTATTCAATTTTATATAATCATTAAGTTTGGCTTTGAATATATATAAGCTTTTGCTGTCTTTAATATCCTGAGGTAACTTATTGAATTGATTTAACCCTTTATAAAATAATACTTTCATTGAGTTAGATAAACTACATCTTGGCAAATGAAGATCATTGATCTGTCTTGTAACATAATTATGAGTACTATTTTGAAATATGATGAATTCATTAAAATATGATGGCAGCATATCATTGATAGTTTTAAAAACAAATATCATTGCTGCTTTGTACAGCCTGTCTTGTACTGAAAACCACTGTAGTGTATTTAGCATAAATGCTATACTGGTATACCTATTGCGTAAAGTGGTACTTTTTCGCACGCATACCGGGTGATTTTTTTTTTTTTATCTCTTGGAGCGCACGAAAGGGAATCCCTATAATGTTCAAGGAACATCGTGCGTTCCTAGGGAGGATAGGGACAGGAGGTAGGTATTGGAGTTTTTTTTGAACTTCTGGAGATTATATGTTGTTGGGAATAGTTCCACAGGCAATGAATTCCAGGGCCTAGCCGTTCTATGGATGAAGGAGTCTTGATATAGTGCTGTTCGACATCTTTCGAGGTTGACAACGAAAGGATGTGCTGACTGGGCTTGTCTAGTTCGTCTGATTGGTATTGCTAGTGAAGGGATGATAGCAGAGATTTCTGAAGAACATTCACCGTGGAAGTATCGATAGAAAAGTGAAAGGTCGCCGACCTTTCTACGGTGTTCCAATGATGTCAAAGAGTGAGTGAGTGTGGCGTCACCCACCAGGCGAATGGCTCTTCTCTGGATGGAATCTAAGAGCATCAGCGTATGTTTTGGTGCTGAACCCCATATGTGGGAACAGTATTCTAGAACAGGCCGTATCTGCGCTTTGTAGATCATGAGAAGCTGTTGAGGTGTAAAGTAGCTTTTCGCACGGAACAAGAATCCGAGTTTTTGGGAAGCAGCTTTTGCGATGGATCTGACATGATTATCCCATGAAAGAGTGTTGCTGATGGAGATACCGAGCATAGATATGGTGGGCTTGGTGGGGATGGTCGTGCCAGACATTACAATATCGGGCATACTGAGGTCCACCTTTCTAGAGAAAATACAGGCTTGGGTTTTGGTGGCGTTGAATTCGACTAGGTTGTCGGTTCCCCAGGCTGTGATTTCAGCAAGATCTTCATTGACAGCATTGACCTGCCTGCGCCGTGAGTTCTTAGTTTCCTGGGAAGAAATGGGAATTCTGGAAGAGAACGCAGTATGGAGGGTACTATCATCTGCGAAGCTGTGGATGGGGCAAGTTGTTACTCCCAACAGATCATTGATATGCAGAAGGAATAATGTTGGTGCCAAAATTGATCCTTGTGGAACGCCGGAATTGATGCCAATGGTATCAGACGATACACCGTCCACCACCACGTGAAGCGATCTGCCTGAAAGAAAACTCGATAAGAGATGGCATAGCTGAGGTGGTAAGCCGTATGATGGTAGTTTGTGGAGGAGTCCTTCGTGCCAAACACGGTCGAATGCTTTCGATATGTCCAACGCGACAGCTAGAGATTCCCCGTGTTTTTCTATTGAAGATTACCATAAATGGGTGACGTAGACAAGTAGATCTCCAGTAGATCTTCGGTGGCGAAAGCCGTATTGTCTATCATTGATGATACCTGAGCTCTCCAGATATTTGATAAGCTCAATATTGATGGCTTTCTCCATCACTTTGGAGATTACTGATAACAGGGCAATGGGCCTGTAGTTGTTGGGCAGGTTCTTGTTCCCTTTTTTGGGGATTGGTTGGACTCTAGCTGTCTTCCAGCATGATGGAAAAACACCCGACCTGTACGAGATGGTAAACAACTTGCAGAGAATCGGTGTTAATTCTGGTGCACATTTTTTGAGGATAATGGGTGGAATTCCATCAGGACCATTAGCCTTATTCGTTTTAAGACCAAGCAAAATTCGTCTGATAGTGCGTTGACGGAAGACGATTTCGGGCATTCGACTCTCGATTTTTCAAGGTGACTCATCCCTGCAACTTTTCCATTATTGAAGGTAGTAAAACGAAATTTGTGGAATTATAAGTTCAATTGACATTCTAATAACAATAATAATAGTTTTATTGCTTTGCATCAAAAAGTTACAGCAAGGGTTTGGCTGCGTACATAAATTGTAGTTTACAGTGATTCTTAAAGCTATAAGTACCTATACTAATATCGACAGGAGACATAACTTACTTTATCGTTATTCACTCAAAATAAATGATCGAAGTTTCAGAATATTATAAACATAATTACATATTATTTTTGCATTTTCCATATTTATATCTTCTAGCGTTGACGCAAGTGATTGGAGATCCGTTAGACAATCAGCTTTTGGTTATATTACGTTGTAAATAGGACACTAGAACAGTATACAGGCTGATTCACGGTGGATGGCACATTAGACGTTTCTGGTGAACCAGACAACGGATCATTTTGAAAATTCAATGGAGGGCATATTCGGACATTCTCTAGCCAACTAAAATATTCTCGACAATGCGGTGTTGCCGCGTCTATTAGAAAGCAGTAGCAACTTTGATTTTTCAAATGGAACACTCTGTATTTTATTGCATTTTTAGATTCTCCCTGAAGAGCTGATTTCATCGATGTATCACACTTGGGGTCTAGCGGAAATGATTACAGAGATATAGGGTGTGAAAAATCGACATTTTTCAACTTTAGGATTTTTTTGTGTCGAAACTACTCATCATTGGTCAAAACGGCTTACATGTCCCTATTTCAACTTTTGAACAACTATCTACTGATATTTAATTGGGTATCAGAGGAATTGGACACGATCTCTTGAAATCATATCTTGAAAATAGAACTATTATAACTAAAATTAATAACTGTGAGTCTAAGATACTATATTTAAACAAAGGGGTTCCTCAAGGATCAGTGTTGGGTCCAATTCTTTATCTATTATACATTCAAAATATTGAAAGAATGAATTTGATAGGAAACTATACCATATAAGCAGACGATACAGTGCTTCTATATGAGAATAAAAACCCAGTAGTTCTAGAACATATCATAAATGAGGACTTGAAAAAAATTGAGAAATGGCTTTATTCCAATCTTCTTTCTCTCAATTCTAAAAAGACACGATATATAACTTTTCATCGCAGAAATAAACAAAATATTGATCTGAATATTAGAATAAAAAATGAACGTTTGAAACAAACTGCCCATACCAAATACCTTGGTATTTGGATTGATGAGAAATTAACATGGGGAAAGCATATTGACATCCTCATAGGAAAAGTATCTCCCATTATTGGTGCTTTGAGAAGATGTCCTAAACTTAGTACATATTCATCAAATATTATTCTCTATTCACATATACTCAGTCGAATTAATTATCTCATAAATATTTGGGGATCTTGTTCCAAAAATAGTTTCAATAAAATTTCTGTTCTATACAGGGTGTCCGGGAACATGTGGGAAATCTCCCGGATATGAAGAAAACACGTGAAAAGAATACTATAAGTTCATATAAACTTCTTTTGTATCGGCCTCCTCTTCGGAGATATGGGCTCCCAAAGAGCTCCCATGGAATTAAGTTTTTGACACATAATTCTTGAACCAACAGGTATATTTCAATTTTTTTTTAATATGATGTATACTAGGTAAGACTCTTCAAATTACTATCCAAGAAAGTGTTGCGAATTACTCACAGCTCCAGGGACGGACTAGCTGTGACACTCATGGGCCCATTTTTTTTACGCCCTGTATGATAAGAACTCTGGACAACGTTTTTTACATACCTCTAACTATTGACTAAAAATTAAGTACTCTTCATTCATGTCGCTAATCATAACCGTTTTCGGAAAAACGTCATTTTATTTATATCATGTATTTAGCGTAATTTTCCACGGTAACCAACATAGTTTCAATAAAAAGTTGAACTTTAACTGCTTAGTTAAAAACTTCGTAACAGGGTTCAACATGGGCTCCATGAAGTCTGATACACTCGCGAGCACGACGAATTGAGGACTGCTGTACCCGCCACAATAACCCAGCATTGTTCCTTATCACATCACAATGAAACGTGATTCTCCGTAGAAGTTCCTCCCTAGTATCGACCGGAGTGGAATACACCAAGGTTTTGAGGTGTCCCCACAGGTAAAAATCTAATGGCGTTAGGTCGGGAGATCTAGGAGGCCAGGAAATAGGTCCTCCTCTACCTATCCAACGGTTTGGATAGACGTTATTCAGGTGCTCCCGCACAGCAACGCTGAAATGAGGTGGTGCCCCATCATGCATAAAGTACATGTTTCGGCGGGTTTCAAGTGGTAAGTGCTCGACTAAATCATTAAAAGCGTTCTGGAGGAACTCCAAATAAAGTATTCCATTCAATCGTGCCGGCAATACGAATGGTCCAATCAAAAAATTGCCAACGATTCCTGCCCAGACATTAATTGATTGGAACTGATGTTGGCGATGCGAAACAATAGTGGCATGAGGATTTTCATCAGCCCATACATGGGTGTTATGTAAATTCATGATACCATTTTTGGTAAAACCTGCTTCATCCGTGAAGAGAATAGTGCTAATGAAGTTTACATTATTTCGTTGCTGATCCAATAGCCAGTTTGCAAAATGCATTCTACGGGGAAAATCTTCAGGAATCAGTTCATGCACTTTTTGCAAATGATATGGGTATAACAGTTGTTCTTGAAGAACTTCATGTACTATTGTTTTCGACGCATTAAACTGCGCTGATAATTTTCGAGTGCTCGTTGAAGGAGTATCATATACAGCATTTAAAATATTTTCCTCTAATTGCGGCGTACGTACTGTTCTTCCCTGACCAGTATTATTACTTCTTTTTCCAAAATTTCCTAAAATTATGAAAGAAGTAAATAACATTACCTTATTATACCTTATTAAGAAGAATCGCCCACCATTCTCCCTTAGACGTTGGTCAACTCGTTGAAATGTCTTCTGATCTGGAAGAGTGCGATTATGAAATCTGTCGTGATATAACCTTCTGGCTTCCAAAGCATTGGACGATGCAAGACCATACATCAGATGCATATCTGCATACTCAATAAACGTGTATTCCATATTTCGAATTATTTCACAATTAATTTCACAACGAAATTCAAAAATCAAATATCAAAGTAATAAGGAATCAATGTATCAGTAATGTGAAAGTTGACAAGTTCTAAAATGAAGGATATTTATTTATTTCTAACCTAGCAACGTTTGCAAAGGTAACTCGAAAAAAAAGTATCTTTTATCGAAATACGCTAAATACATGATATAAATAAAATGACGTTTTTCCGAAAACGGTTATGATTAGCGACATGAATGAAGAGTACTTAATTTTTAGTCAATAGTTAGAGGTATGTAAAAAACGTTGTCCAGAGTTCTTATCATACAGGGCGTAAAAAAAATGGGCCCATGAGTGTCACAGCTAGTCCGTCCCTGGAGCTGTGAGTAATTCGCAACACTTTCTTGGATAGTAATTTGAAGAGTCTTACCTAGTATACATCATATTAAAAAAAAATTGAAATATACCTGTTGGTTCAAGAATTATGTGTCAAAAACTTAATTCCATGGGAGCTCTTTGGGAGCCCATATCTCCGAAGAGGAGGCCGATACAAAAGAAGTTTATATGAACTTATAGTATTCTTTTCACGTGTTTTCTTCATATCCGGGAGATTTCCCACATGTTCCCGGACACCCTGTATAAAAAGGCATTGAAAGTATTGTATCGTCTTCCATATGATACTCCAACGAATCAACTGTATAAGGAAACAAACACATTTTCTTCGGAAGAGCACTTTTTAATCAATACTCTCAAAATTTCCTATTATATCATCAACAAAAAGCTTAAATCAAATTTTATATTAATCAGGAATTCCGAAATTCATGATCATCACACTAGACAATATAACTTGTTTCATCTTGAAGCTGCAAATTCTAAACTTGGGCAAAAAAAGTTTACACATGAGGCGATTTCGAAATTCAATAAATTACCAGATGATATCAAAAACAGCCCAAATATTATGCAATTCAAAAATAAAGTTAAGAAATATATTTATATGCAAAGGAATGATCAAAGCTGAAAGACTATGAATTTCCTTTTTTCTTTTTTTTTTCACTGTTTTTATTTTTCCCCTTCTTGTTCACTATAATATGACTGTATCTTAATGATATGGTTTTGTTCACTATTTGTAATTTCGATTATACAACAGTCGATAATACTTCATGAATGATCTTATACCAGGAATTACTGTCTGATCATTCATGTCATTCCTACTAGAAAATTAATTATACTTTATTATTTATTATATATTATTTGTATGAAATGTATCAATGAAGAAGAGAATGTAATGCAATAACTGAAATAAATAAAAAATAAAAATAAAATTCTCCTGTCCCGGTCACGGTGTTAGTGGTCGAACTCCTCCGAAACGGCTCGATCGATTCGTATGAAATCTTTTGTGCGTATTCGGTAGGTATGAGAATCGGTCGTAATCTATTTTTCAAATCGAAAATTGAAGATGGCGGATCCAATATGGTGGACGAGTATTGTTATGCGATTTCATTCAAAATTGGTATTTGGGGGTTTTTGATGTCGAAAATTATGATTCTTTCGTAAAATTTTGGAAATTCCAAATGGCGGATCCAATATGGCGGACGAGTTTTGTAATTATGGTCAGATTCCATTCAAAATTGGTATCTGGAGGTTTTCAAGGTCAGATATTATGATTTCTTCATCAAAATTAGGAAATTCAAAATGGCGGATCTAATATGGCGGACGAGTTTTGTGATTATGATCCAATTATATTCAAAATTGATATCTGAGGGTTTTCGGGGTCGGAGATTATGGTTCGACGAATGGCGGACGAATTTTGTAATTATGGTCAGATTCTATTAAAAATTGGTATCTGGAGGTTTTAAAAGTCGGAGATATGAATCATTTGTCAAAATGGGGAAATTCAAAATGGCGAATCCAATATGGCGGACGAGTTTTGTAATTATGGTCAGATTTTATTAAAAATTGGTATTGGGTGGTTTTCGGGGTCGGAGATAATGATTCTTTTGTCAAAATTAGGAAATTCAAGATGGCGGATCCAATATGGCGGACGAGTTTTGTAATTATGGTCAGATTCCATTCAAAATTTGTATCTGGGTGATTTTCGGGTCGGAGATTATGATTCTTTCATCAAAATTAGGAAATTAGAGATGGAGGATCCGATATGGCGGACGAGTTTTGTAATTATGACCCGATTCTATTCACAATCTGTATCTGGGGGTTCTTGGGGTCGGAGATTGGGAAATTCAAGATGGCGGATCCAATATGGTGAAAGAGCTTGGTAATAAATAGTAGTTCGAAAAACTATAATGAAACACGCTTTTATAGATAGCCAAACTCGAGGCCAAACTGAATAGAAGTAGAAAATTGATAGTATAGTTTGAAAAACAAGATAGATTGTCCAATAAAAATAAGTAGAAAATAAAAATAGTAGTTTGAAATACTAATGAAACACGATTTCATGGATATCCAAACTAAAAAGAAGTTCAAAACAAAATAATAAAAGTGTGTTGATGAATATTTAACTAAAAAAACATTTTCTAAAAGAAAATGTATATAGCAAAACAACGTGTGCCAGGTATCAGCATCAGCTATTGTAATAAATAGTAGTTTGAAAAACGAATGAAACACGTTTTTATAGATAGCCAAACGAAAAAGAAGTGAGTAGTGAATAAATGAAAAAATGAAGAGATATAGACTGCCGAACTAAAAAGAAGTAGAGAATAAGTAGAATAGTTTGAAAAACTGAAGAATCCCGTTTTCATGGATAGCCGAACTGAAAAGAAGTATAAATAAAATAATGAAAGTTCGTTGATAAATATTTATTTTTCTAGAAATAATGTTATGGCAAAACAACGTTTGCCGGGTCAGCTAGTAGTTCATAAAATGAACGAAAATGGTAGATAACGAGAGAAAAACAACTACTTTTCTGGCTATATGCCACGCAGAACATTGAATTACATCCTCTCGACATCTAAGCAACGATTCGGAAAGACAAATACAGCTGCAAGTCGTTCTTTCCTAAATGCTGAGCTGTGATCAAATTGTTCAGGAACGCTTGGCTACCTACAGACCGGTAACGAGTGCAGGGGTGTCTCCAGATGGCATTCTTGACAGCCATCTGGTGCACACCTGATGAGTCATCGAATAAAAAAACAACCAGTTTTGTGTCCTTGGGGATGATAACTGTTTGAGATAATGATTGTCGGTATTTTTGACAGGTGTCCGTACTGCCCTAAAGCCTTCAAGACTGCAGTGCAATGGGCCGGCCATCGAAACAGCCACACGAAGCCTTTCAATTGCAAAGAATGCAATCGACCGTTCGCCTCGCTTTATGCCGTTAAGGCGCATATGGAGACACACAAGGTAAAAAAAGAGCTCATCTAAACTGGTCAACATTGATAACGTCGTGCTCCAAAATACAGGGTGGCCCACGGTCGATGGTACCTTAGACGTATACAGAAAACGATACATTGGATTATCCTGAAAATTTGGTTATTCTAATAAGCGTTTTTGATCTAACGATTCAAAATATTTTCAGCGAAGCAGCGTTGCCACTTTTACCAAAAAGTAGCATCATCTTTGTTATTTCAAATGGAACACCCTGTATTTTATTGCGTTTTCAGATTCTTCTCGAAGAGCTGATTTCATCAATGCATCACACTTGGGGTCTAGCAGGAATGATTACAGAGATATAGGGTGTTCAAAATCGAGATTTTTCAACTTTAGGATTTTTTTGTGTCGAAACTATTCATCATTGGTCAAAACGGCTTACATGTCCCTATATTAACTTTTGATTAACTATCTACCGACATTTATTTGGAAAAAATACAGGATGGTCCAAGATTCAAAATTTTGATCACCCTGTATCTGTTCCAATTAAATGTCAGTAGATAGTGAATCAAAAGTTAAGATAGGGACATGTAAGCCGTTTTGATCGATAATGAATAGTTTCGACACAAAAAATTCCTGAAATTGAAAAATCTCGATTTTGAACACCCTATATCTCTATAATAATTCCTGCTAGACCCCAAGTGTGATGCATTGATGAAATCAGCCCTTCAAGAAGAATCTAAAAACGCAATGAAATACAGGGTGTTCCGTTTGAAATAACAAAGATGATGCTACTTTTTGGTAAAAGTGGCTACGCTGCATCGCTGAAAATATTTTGAATCGTTAGATCACAAACGCTCATTAGAGTAACCAAATTTTCAGGATAATCCAATGTACCGTTTTCCGTATACGTCTAAGGTACCATCGACCGTGGGCCACCCTGTATACTTAGGTACTTCTTTTATCAAATCGTACATTAAACATGAATAACAACCTGTAGGATGATAAAGCATAAGTCACATTCGAACATGCATGCTTTCATACCTACTTTGAATGATCTGGTCCTAAATATTCTGCATTCCACAATCCATCACAAACACAACACATCATGTTCACGGTCATTTACCAACTGAAAATGGCATCAAAATCACGCCAGACGCTACCGCTACTCTACCGACCGATCTGACCTTCTGCCTCCTTTCCACGTGACTGAAAAGTCAATAGTCCTACGTCCATCTCTGAACGTACAATGTACGTTCATTTAACGTCCATGAACCTTCAGATTTAAAATGATTCCATATAGACATTTACTTCGAACAATTATTTATATACATATAAATAAACTACTCAACACTAATTTCGTCGCACACCAAAATGTCGCCCCTGTTATAATGTGAATAACTTTTTTCAGTTTAGAACAATTTGAATTGGGCTCACACTGTTCGATAGCCCAGTCCTTCAGCTATAATCTCGTACTTCATTGAAACATAAGGGTATTCACATAAAATCTCTACATGGTGTTTTTCGACACTGTGCGAAATTTCGAAATATTCAAAAGGCTCTCAAATAGTGAAAACAATTTTTTTCTCAAATTCGACAACAGAGGCATGAAAATGATCTCATTACCTCGAGATATTTCGCGAATCAACTTCCTATCTCTCTTATTTACAGAGTGATCTCAAAAAATCAACTTTTTGGTTTTGCAGCCATAACTTTTTTCCACGTCAACCGATTTTGGAAATCTTAGGCTCATTTTGAAGATAAAACTTCAGATGAAGAGATCTGAATATCAGAATTGACTCAAGATGGCTATCAAAGATCTAGAGTTTTCTTGAAAGTGACCCAAATCTGGAACGCCCTTCGAATCTTGGTTGGGAGGAGAATTGAATGAAAATCAACTTGTTCTCGGAAAAACAATTCATTCTGGATGCGTCCATATTTTCCTCGCTCTCAGTAGTCAAGAATTGTGCGTGAGAAAACACAATTGAAACATGTTCTTGCAAAAACATTAGATCATTTCTCCTCTGTAATGCATGGCCCGCCGTAACCAACGTTACAAGAATCACAATGAGTGATTGACAAACCCGACCAGCTGAGGCTCATCATAAATGGTGTACCAACAAGAGCAACGGATTTTGATTTCTTCAATAAAGTGATTTTTTTAACAGTTGTCACGTACATAACACGCGATTCAAGAATATGGAAAAGTATTCAAGCAAACAACGTTTATTTATTGTAAAAACGCATTTCAAAAAGGGTGAAAGTTTCACGAAAACAATTTGCAAATTACATAAAGTTTTCAGTCGCAATAATGCGCCGAACGAATCGACAGTAATAACCAAACAATTCGTGTCGATGATAAGCCCTTTGAATGGATCGGACTGTCGTGTTTAGCAGATCCGTGATTTGGAGGGAAGATAACCCTTGTTCCCTCATTTGTGGAATCAGTTCCGACTGGTCGGGCGTTAGATGCGTCATCGAAACTATCAAAATCTGTTTATGATTCTAAAACGACGTCTAACCTGACTTGTCAGTCACTTACTGTGATTCTTGTAACGTTGGTTACGGGCCATGCATTACAGAGGAGAAATGGTCTGATGTTTTTGCAAGAACATGTTTCAATTGTGTTTTCTCACGCACATTCTTGACTACTGAGAGCGAGGAAAATATGGACGCATCCAGAATGAATTGTTTTTCCGAGAACAAGTTTATTTTCATTCAATTCTCCTCCCAACCGAGATTCTGAGGGCGTTCCAGATTTGGGTCACTTTCAAGAAAACTCTAGATCTTTGATAGCCATCTTGAGCTAATTCTGATATTCAGATCCTTTCATCTGAAGTTTTATCTTCAAAATGAGCCTAAGATTTCCAAAATCGGTTAACGTGGAAAAAAGTTATGGCTGCAAAACCAAAAAGTTGATTTTTTGGGATCACTCTGTAAATAAGAGAGATAGGAAGTTGATTCGCGAAATACCTCGAGGTAATGAGATCATCTTCATGCCTCTGTTGTCGAAGTTGGGAAAAAAATGTTTTTCACCATTTGAGAGCCTTTTGAATATTCCGAAATTTTGCACAGTGTCGGAAAACACCATGTAGAGATTTTATGTGAATACCCTTTTCTTTCAATGGAAAACGAGATTATAGCTGAAGGACTGGGCTATCGAACAGTGTGAACCAAATTCAAATTGTTCTAAACTGAAAAAAGTTGTTCACATTATAACAGGGGCAACATTTTGGTGTGGGACGAAATTAGTGTTGTGTAGTTTATAATGTTCATTCTTCATTCATGAACGCTTGAACTCAGAATGGCCGTTAAATGGGCATCCAATGTGAGTTTAATTTGTATCATCCAATGTACGTCCGTCTCTGTACGTACAATGGATGTTGATCAAACGTCCACGAGCGTTTTAGTCCTTGCGTTGACATAAAATGGATTTCCAACGGACGTTAATTTTGAAACATACATTTTGTACATCCATCGTTATAAGTACAATGAATGTACATTCTACGTACATGCGTGGTTGAACATTGAGTGGACGCCCACTGTACATACAATTTCAAGCATCCAATGATAACCCAGCGAGCACAAAAACATCTCAGAGATGTTAAAAGTACGAGATTTCGAGACATTGAACTTCCACTGCGATGTTCTGTTCACACATGAATAGAACTATTATAGAACAGCCAAATGTACGCCGCAGGCGGCAATTATCGAGATGTCCTTGATATGTCACAAAACTACCTTCTCCCTAGTTCTTTTTAAAGCCTTTTCATGGACACAACAGAACATTTTCAACGCGTCTTGCGCACATTAAATCGCTGCAAAAAAAAAAAACATTTTCGAGGTACTTTTCTGAAGCCTTTTGTCAAAATGAACTTTTGCATTAGGATTCCACTTCCCTTGAATGAAAAAATGCATTTAAAATAGATTGAACATAAACATATTTTCTTGATATGAAATTACCTTCTTAATCGGTTTCTGAGTAGTGCTTACTACACACAGACATATAATTGGAAATAGGTTTCCCAATTTTCGAAATGTTCTCCACAATGCATTATTTTGCAACTGCGGAGAAGCTGTGTATTGATAAACTCGTACTTTTATATATTGATCACACTGAGGCACCGAACAACACATCTTGCATCTGATGGTCATTATTACAAACTGAATAAGTCTTCTAACACAATAAACTTCACCGAATTCCTTTCTGTTCGTTAGCAGCGTGATGTAAGCGTCACACGCTGCAAACGCGAATGCCAATAATTGCGAACAAGAAGAGACGTTGTGGTGGGGCAAACAAAGAAAGGGCACAAAAGAACAAAAAGAATACTTTCAATATCCTTCTAAGACCTCTTTGGGAAGTGCATATTACGCCTCAAAAAATCACCCTCATGCCTACATTTCTAAAACATCCCAAAACATCCCAGGGATACCTTTCAGTAGGCAAACAAAGAAATGCCACAAAAGAACAAAAACAATACTTCAATATCCTTCAAAGACCTCTTTGGTCAGTGCATATTACGTCTCAAAATAACATCTTCATGCCAACATTTTCAAAACATCCCAAAACGTCCCAGGGATGTTTGTGCTCGCTGGGAATCCATGTTTGTACATACATTGGATGTCCATTCAATGTCCATGGACGTTTAAAATTGAAATGGACCTAAAATGGACGTCCAATGGATGTCATGTGCTGTATGGGTCTGCCAGTATCGTATGTACATTTATGTCTGAAACACCCTGTATAGTACCCCAGGCAACCAGATGACGTTCCAGTGACGTCTTTTTTACGTCACTTGAATGACCAAGGTGACGTCAGTAGTTGACGTCGCATTGACGTGATAATGACGTGAATAAGTCACAGCCAAATGACGTCATATTACTCACAAACTGTGACGTCCGACTGACGTCATAATGGCGTCATAACGACGTCAAAATGACGATTGAATTTGGCGATGATACGTAAAAAAGATTCCTTTGACATGGTGTGATAAACACCACTAGCCTCTGATGACATTATATAATATCGATTATGCATTGTTGAGTTTGCTTGGTGGGTCGCTCCTGTTTCATGTTCATTCAATCGCCTATTCAGCAGCGCCATTCTTCAGTAGGCATCTCCATCAGAATGCAATCAGTTACTCGTATTTGTATAAAAAACTATGTAGTTTGTGTCGGCGAGATGTAAGCAAACAAAGAATAGTTTGATAGCAATGGAAAGGATGTTGGCGAATTTGGCTTCACTTTGTTGAATAATGTGAATTGATGCATTCTTTGTCACCCAACAAAAATCTAGATGGTAAATTATTGAAAAATTCCCTAAATGACGAAGCTCACCAAATTGGTACGTCACACCGACGTGATTTTTAGACGTCATAAATACGTCACTGGAACGTCATAAAAGTAACGGTTTCAATATAGGTATACCTAAACAATCATTTTTATATATACATAGTTTGTTGGTTTCCGAGATATACAATGTGTCAAAGTTTTTTAGAAAAAAGTTTTTCTACTACTTTTCGGGTATATTGATAATTAGAATAAAACTTGCATGTTGATTTGCTTTCATGAGTTGTACTTTTGTTTCACATGATAATATATAAGTATCCATGGTTTAGAGAAGGTCTGGGAAAAATGGACGTCGACAGGACGTCCCTGCAACGTCATGAAACTGACGTCTTCTTTTACCCATCTAAGTGACGTTCACTCGACGTCGAAACGATGACGTGATTATCACGTCATAGAAAGTACGTCATAGTGACGTCATTAATTGGTGTGTGACGTCTCTGACGAAAAATCACCAATTAGGGACGTCACACTGACATGTGATTTTTTTTCTGGTAGAGAGAGAACAACCTGCGGTTCGACTGTTTCGTGTGCGGCGCTACCTATGCCAGAGACTACGCTCTGCGCGACCACGTGAAAAGCCAACATCCGGAGGCGGCGCTGGAAGAAACGGCGGAACAAGGCGTCGACGTCGATCGCGCCGAGACGCTCGACAGCACCGAGCTGATCGAGCACGAGATGGTGCAAGAGGACGAACAGAAGACGGCTTCTTGAATTTGCACACTGTTTTTCTCTTTTGATCTATTGTTTGTTTGTTTTTTTGCATTTATTGGCACTGGAATTAAATAGGCGCTGTAAAGTATGCCCCGACTTTCATTAACCTCTTATTGCTCTTGTAGCGACCCTCCTTTGCCATCTTTTTGAAATTAAATTAATTTTTTTTGCAACCGACACAAAAGTCGTCCATTTTGATACCAAAATTAGCTCTTAAATTGACGTTTCTATTACTGACACAAAAATAGGTATGTTGCTAGGCAACATATTTAGTTCCTAGGAGCTAAAGTTGAATTTTAGTTCCTAGGAGCTAAAGTTGAACTTTAGCTCCTAGGAACTAAAAAGGATGTACTGGACGTCATCAAGAATAAACAACATTGTGACGGTTTGTTATTTGGGTAGAGACGCATACCTGATTTGTTTCCGATTTCAGCAGATTTGGCATTTCATACCCATGCTGGAGATATAAATACACCTTATTATAGTTTAGTATTGGAATTATGAACATCTCAGTTAAGTATATTTGTTTTGATCAGGAAAGCCTTCAAGATTCAAATACTTGCTAGATCTGTATATTTCATTCGTTATTCTCGGGATGGATAACTTGTTTTTGAATAATCACGGCCAGCAATAGTTTTTTGTCTCAAACAACGATATTGTTTAGCTTCATTCGATTATCAAGCCAAACACAGTGTAGTATACGGAGAGGAATAAATAATCACTCTATTATCATTGTTGATATGCTCACTAACCTAACATTTTCCACGTCTGGTTCCTATATATAGCTGGCACTGGCGCGGTATTTGCCATTAGAGCACCTGGTTCATACACAGATATGTCACTCTGTGGTTGTATTTATATTGAAACTACAATTCGAACATCCTAGAACATCTAACCTGCTGTTAATGCAGGTAGAATAATCTCACCACATGGATTGTTTTGTCAATATTATTTGTTGCATTGCATACATATGGCACGGCATTGGTGGTTAGATTAGATTAGATTTGGAATGGGGCCTTCGGGCTATCTGCCTCCACACTGCGACCTTTTCAGATCTATTGTGTCTGCCCTCAAAATCGATTAGAGTTTTTCGGCTAGCCCCGTCTTCTCTATGAGACTCCATAGGCTAGCTTTCAGATCCCCTGTGTATCTCTGGGCTTCTGGTTTTTCCTCACCCAGCGTAAGGAACCTTAGTCTTGACAAGCCCTCACAGTGGCAAAGTATGTGTACTGCTGTTTCTTCCTCTTCTTGACATAACCTGCACAGCAGTTCTTTAGTCAGACCTATCGTACTCATGTGTTTGTTGAGCCTACAATGCCCTGTGAGAAGTCCCACTAGTATTCTAGTTGAACTTCGTTTCTGGCTTAGTAGATATTCTGTGAATGTTGGCGATGGTTTTTTAATAAACTCTTTTGCCTGTCTCATTCCTGGCGATTTGTTCCACCATTCTTGAGATTTGGTTTGCATCCATGATTTGATACTAGTCTTTTGTATAGCTTTCGCAATACCACAGAAGGGTTCTGGGCCATTCAGAGCTTTGTTTGCTCCTGCTCGGGCAAGTGAGTCTGCCTCTTCATTGCCCTCGTACCCTGTATGTGCTGGTACCCATGCTAGAGTCAGTCTGTGGTGTCATTGGTGGTTACTTCACATGTTCATTGGAGTTATTTGTTTCGGTTGCAGAAAAAATTGCATGTTTCATTCGGATCAAAAGTGACTTTGTTCGACTCGCAAATTTTGCTTTCGCTCGGCTTCGCTAAACGCAAAATAATCCATGTGGTGAGAATATTCTACCTGCATTAACAGCAGGTTAGGTGTTCTAGGATGTTCGAATTGTAGTTTCAATATGAATACAACCACAGAGTGACATATTTGTGTGTGGACCAGGTGCTCTAATGGCAAATACCGCGCCAGTGCCAATATAGGAGCATTCCGGTAGACTACTACGTCTACATTTCTCAGAATTTTCCGAATCCCACCACAGATTAGTTCATTTCGATATCGAAGAGGAATGTGAGTGACTGTGCAGGCTGCAGACAATCTGAAATATCTCGAAAACTATCCAAGATAGACTGAAATAGAAATCATATTCGCGTTGAGCACATCGAGAATACCCTGTATACAAGGTTACAGCTCATTCTAATTTTTATCAAAAATCGAAAAAAGCAAAGGGGTTAGTTAACCTTCTTTCGTTTATGTTCAAAATTATCAAAATCATCGTAGAGCCTTCTAATTTGGCATGAAGGACTCTAATGCAATTGCCAATATCCCACTAAAACCATTCTTCTTTCGTCGCAATAGAAAAGAATTCATGAATTTTTTCCCAGACAGGAATGTGAGTGACTGTGCAGGTTGCAGACAATCTGAAATATCTCGAAAACCAGCCAATAAAGACAAAAATAGAAATTATGTTCGTGTTGAGCGCATCGAGAATACCCTGTATGCAAGGTTACAGCTCATTCTAATTTTTATTAAAAATCGAAAAAAGCAAAGGGGTTAACCTTCTTTCGTTTATGTTCAAAATTATCAAAATCATCGTGTTAGAGCCTTCTAATTTGGCATGAAGGACCCTAATGCAATTGCCAATATCCCACTAGAACCATTCTTCTTTCTACGCAGTAGAAAAGAATTCATGATTTTTTTTCCAGAGAGGAATGTGAGGGACTGTGCAGGTTGCAGACAATCTGAAATATCTCGAAAACTAGCCAAGATAGACAAAAATAGAAATCATATTCGTGTTGAGCACATCGAGCATACCCTGTATACAAGGTTACAGCTCATTCTATCTTTTATTAAAAATCGAAAAAAGCAAAGGGGTTAACCTTCTTTCGTTTATGTTCAAAATTATCAAAATCATCGTAGAGCCTTCTAATTTGGCATGAAGGACTCTAATGCAATTGCCAATATCCCACTAAAACCATTCTTCTTTCGTCGCAATAGAAAAGAATTCATGAATTTTTTCCCAGACAGGAATGTGAGTGACTGTGCAGGTTGCAGACAATCTGAAATATCTCGAAAACCAGCCAATAAAGACAAAAATAGAAATTATGTTCGTGTTGAGCGCATCGAGAATACCCTGTATGCAAGGTTACAGCTCATTCTAATTTTTATTAAAAATCGAAAAAAGCAAAGGGGTTAACCTTCTTTCGTTTATGTTCAAAATTATCAAAATCATCGTGTTAGAGCCTTCTAATTTGGCATGAAGGACTCTAATGCAATTGCCAATATCCCACTAAAACCATTCTTCTTTCTACGCAGTAGAAAAGAATTTGTGATTTTTTTCCCAGAGAGGAATGTGAGTGACTGTGCAGGTTGCAGACAATCTGAAATATCTCGGAAACTAGCCAAGATAGACGAAAATAGAAATCATATTCGTGTTGAGCACATCGAGAATACCCTGTATACAAGGTTACAGCTCATTCTATCTTTTATTAAAAATCGAAAAAAGCAAAGGGGTTAACCTTCTTTCGTTTATGTTCAAAATTATCAAAATCATCGTAGAGCCTTCTAATTTGGCATGAAGGACTCTAATGCAATTGCCAATATCCCACTAAAACCATTCTTCTTTCGTCGCAGTAGAAAAATATTTATGAATTTTATCCCAAAGGGACTGTGAGTGACTGTGCAGGTTGCATACAATCTGGAATATCTCGAAAACTAGCCAAGATAGACAAAAATTGAAATCATATTCGTGTTGAGCACATCGAGAATACCCTGTATACAAGGTTACAGCTCATCCTGATTTTTATTAAAAATCGAAAAAAGCAAAGGGGTTAACCTTCTTTCGTTTATGTTCAAAATTATCAAAATCATCGTAGAGCCTTCTAATTTGGCATGAAGGACTCTAATGCAATTGCCAATATCCCACTAAAACCATTCTTCTTTCGTCGCAGTAGAAAAATATTTATGAATATTATCCCAAAGGGAATGTGAGTGACTGTGCAGGTTGCATACAATCTGAAATATCTCGAAAACTAGCCAAGATAGACAAAAATTGAAATCATATTCGTGTTGAGCACATCGAGAATACCCTGTATACAAGGTTACAGCTCATTCTTATTTTCATCAAAAATCGAAAAAAGCAAAGGGGTTAACCGTCTTTCGTTTATGTTCAAAATTATCAAAATCATCGTAGAGCCTTCTAATTTGGCATGAAGGACTCTAATGCAATTGCCAATATCCCACTAAAATCATTCTTCTTTCGTCGCAGTAGAAAAATATTTATGAATTTTATCCCAAAGGGAATGGGAGTGACTGTGCAGGTTGCATACAATCTGGAATATCTCGAAAACTAGCTGTTCGATGCTCTTGGTGATGAGTGTGGACTGTATTTCGATCGTTGAATAAAACTGATATGATATGAAGAATAAAAGGGAAATTGCAACCGATTGCAATTTCTCTCCCAACTTTTTGATTCAATCTTATGTTTCTAACAACACGTCGTCATGATAACAACAAATGAAATCCTATCCTATATAGGGTAATACCACTAGCAACTACCATTATACAGGATCATACAGGTAAAGTACTGGACATACATGGTGTCTTTTAACTACTTGACCTAGATATAACATAAAGGGTGATGTACAAAGTACCAAACATGCCGCCCCCTTGAAAGATTATAACTTTCAAAATACTAAATAAATAATTACATTACAAATATAACAGACAATGAATTATGTGGTACATTCTTCTAAGGGCAATACACATATCTTGTTGACTGGACGTTTCAAGGTACCCTAGCTCTTGTGTCTTCAGTGTCACAACCCGAACAACATCGTCCATGCCGGGATGAATTTCAATAATGCGCGCCAATTTCCATAACAATGGCTGCACGAAGTCTTCCTTTATCGAAACTAACTGACCAATCTGCACCTGCTCAGATAAACGTCTCCACTTTGTTCTCTGCTGCAGATGGCAGAGGTATTCTGACGACCAACGTTTCCAGAAGTGCTGGGTAAGCTGTTGAAGCTTCTGATAGTGATTAAGTCGATTTTCTGGTA